TGGTTTAGGACGTGATAACTGACACGTGAGATTATCACTCACATGTACTGACATACATTTGTATAACAGAAGACTGAGTATGTGTAATTAGTATGTACCCAATATCTTCCAGACCCTGCGGCCACACACTGCTTCCCCGTGTCACTTAGGTCATGAGGATTGACACGCGTGTCATTGTACATATTTATGTTGACAACATTTGATTCACACGTGCCAAATTCTCACAGGAAAACGTGGTCTGTCAGCCTCTGCAAAACTTGTCACATATGAAGTCATGTGTGTGCATGTGATGGACACAGGAGTTAACATGTATATCACTGACATCTTTCAAATGCTGTGTCCTTGCACATGAGAAACATGTCACAACACGTGTGAACACCTGGGGCCTGTGGGCAGGGGCCTTGAAACTTCAGATCATGCCTTTCTCCCCCCCAACCCAGCCACATTTACACCCGTGCAAGGCATGTAGAACACCATGGCTGTGGTCATAACACGTGAGGGAAACGTATGAATAAGTATGTGTTTGTATGTGACAAGTGTGTGGGTTGCTGTGTGGGGGTCAGACATGACACATTTGGTGTGTACATGTGACAACATGAGTGTTGTGTTTGGAACATACGTATCGTGTGAATCATGGCTCTGGGCCCACCTCTCCACGCATGTAAACTGTAAACACATGCACAGCTCCAGGCGGTCATCTTCATATGTGTGTAAATAACGTGTTACATTTATGTTACAAGCCCAGCTCTAGGACTCCATTTTCACATATGCACACACGTGTGTGGAATCACATGTCATACATGTAACTCTGGGCCTATGTCATTGTAGCTACATGTATAATCATAAGTGTGACATTCACATGTCCAAACATTAAATGCCTAACTCACACTTCACAGGCATGGCATAGGCCACTGTTTTTTACATGTAAGTAACACTTTACCTGCCTAGCTCTTGGCCCATGTATTTACACGTCACATGCTCACCTCTGGGCCTGTATCATAACCTGTACACATTTTATGTGCTTGCCACATACGTGTGTAATTAAATGTGACATTTGCATGTGTTTCAAGCAAGACAAACTTTGCGTGCCTGACTCATGTCACGCATGGCCAGGTTTTACAAGCCTGCTACATGTATGACTCTGGGTTGCTATTTTTACCTGTATACATGTATTTAAATAGCACCTTACATGCATAGCTCTGGGCCCATGTCTTTACATATCACACTTTACATTATCACATGCTAAGCCCTAGGCATGTATCTTTACTTTTACATATATGTAAAATCACATTCTATGTTCATGCCACATGCTTAGCCACAGGCGTTCACCTACATGTGTGTAAATGTATGCATGACATTTGACATGAATGTCGCGTGTGCAACTCTGAGCTCGTGTCTATATGTTTTATGTATGTACAAAGACTATGCCTAGACTTAAACATTTAACATATGACAAATATGATTTCACATGTGAAAACAGAGACTGTAGCACATATGAGAACAGGAAGTACTAGAGTGAGCTGTCTAACACATGTGCACATACATGCCCAGCTCTAGGCCAACATACTAATAAGTGTGTGCACTCACATGCTTCTTATGGGAATGAAATATACATGTGTAGAGTTAAACATGTAACATGTGACAAGAATCTTTTTCTTTGTGACCATAGTTTACACATAGATAGACAGAGGTCGACTTTATACACATAACATTTAGCATATAGCATATATGCACATATACATGCAGCACAACATATGTGCTCATGTACATATGATTTGCATGCATATATGTAACATGATCACAGAGGGACACTTACTTCGGGAGCCTTTGTAGAATACATGTTTGCTACAAGCAATGCCTTCATGCATGTGTGAGTACACAGTCTACACAGGTCTCATGCATTTGTGTGCAGGCAGCATCTTCATACATGTGTGCGAACAGGCAGCATCTTCCTGTGCGTGCTTGCACATGCAGTGTCAGAGTCTTCATGTGTGTTCACGTGTGTTTAACCCACTTCAAGTCAGTGCCGCTGTCATGACGTCAGCACACCAGGATCATGTATGTAAGACTATGTAAGGCCACACGTGACTTGCAAGTATTCCCGCCATGATTCTGGAGGCTCATTGTACATAGAGTCCGCATGACATATGTAGGCCACACATGACTTGCTTTCAGGCTCCCTAGAGTCATGCATCACATGTGTGATGTGATTGCCCTCTATGTAAACAGGCATGGGGAGAGTGGGGTGACATGTATAGTCACATGACCTGGGACAGGCACTGCCAGTCACAGAGATGGCCCCAACCCTGCTCTGCTCCCCTGCTATCTGGCCAGGGTCCCATGTTCCTTGCATGGGGGTGGGGCAGCTGTGTCATTGATCTTCAAATGGCATCATGTGAGAGTTCACGGCACACATGTGTGAACACATGGATACAAACATGTGAACCTACATGGACCCACATTAACACACATGCACAGGCATGCTAAGAAACATACACTTGGGCACATGTATTCGCTCACGTATGAATGAGTGGACACTTATGTACATTTGCATTCATGCAAGCACAGACAGACATGAACATATGTGGACACATGAATACAGACACAAACACATGCACACACTCAATCACACACACATACGTGCACACGCAAACACAGACACACATGTTAGAAATGGCCGCCACCGAGGGCCAACATGGGGGCTTTAATGTGTGGCCTCCTGCATCATGTGACATGTCATATGATTTGCATATATTACATGTAGTTTATGCCATGTGGATACAACCATGTCCACTGTGAACACGTTACTTGTTCCCTGTGTCATGTGTCATTGCATGGCGACATGCTTGTACACACATCCACATGTGTTTTAAGTGTGTTAGGTGCAAGTGTGTGTCCTTTGTATGTGTAGTGTTTGTAGATTTGACCGACCCTGCTTCGTCTGGGGACCTTCAATTTCGTGTCTTCTGTCACATGCAGTGTCTGCACACATACACATGTTTATTTCTCAGAGATGTGATTAATCCAATCCTGTATAATTGACATGTACAGCACGTGTTCCCAATATGGAGGTCACAACCCAATGGGGCCCTGAGCAAGATAGGCATGTTACCCGGATCAGGGCAACCGTGGCTTGTGAGTGTGCATGTATGTATGTATGTGTGCATGCCTGTGTATATTTGTGTGCATGTGTGTTTGCAAATAGTGTGTAAATATGTATGTACATGTGTGTATACATTTGTGCATGTGTGCAAACATGTATATACATGTATGTGATGTATGTAGATGATCAACAGAGGGGAGATCACATGTTTTTCACATGATGAAAATGAGAAATGTTTCAGTGCAGGAGTTGTGCCGTGTCACTGTCACATATGTCATAATCTCACTGTGTCAACATCACTCTGTCCTGATGTGTCCTGCATCACGTGTGTGAGCCAGGGAGCCACTGGCTTGAACATGTGCTGACATTGACCTACGTGTTCATGGCTAGAGATGTAAGGACATGTTCACACTTGCACATGTAAGTGTGTTCCCGTGCACATACACACAGTCATTTACACGGAAACATGTTTACCTGTGCATGTGGGATGTGAGAATACGTTTATGCACACAGAACATGGAAACACATGTGAACATACAATGTGGGCCAGAGGTGACTGGACAGGTGGGGACCAGGCTGGGAACACGTGACTCCACACAGGGAACACGTGAGCCATGAGCCTCACTCACGTGACATCCACAGCAGACACGCCACCCCAGACAGAACATGAGACCCCAGCCCCCAAACCTGAGGCTCTGTCTTGCTAACGTCATGTGTGTCTGCTCCGCAGGTCCCACAGCCGTGAAGGTCAACATGCATGACCCTGGCCTGACTTTGTGGCCTAGGGCAGGGGGTGGAGCCGAGCGTGAGTGACGCATGTACATCATTAATTCACCCTCAAGTGTTCAGAGTCATTAATTCACTATCAAGCCTTCTTAACCATTCACCACGCAGGATCAGATTCATTAATTCACCCTCGGGTGTTTAGGATCATTAATTCATCCTCGCATGTTCACCAGAACCATTAATCTGCCCTCACTGGGACAGAATCATTAATTCACCCTCACATGATCCCTTCGAGCTCAGAATCCTTAATTCAAACTACTGCAGGTGGAAAGGTACCTCAATTCCGCCCTGCATCCCATGTTCCCCGTGGCAGCTACACTGTCCTCAATCCCTGCATCCATGGAGTCACTTCCGCCCTCACTGTGTATCCCATCTCATGAAGATGATATTTCCACCCACACTGATGCTGACCCAGATGTCACTTCCACCCTTGCAGCCGCTGTTCACTGATGTTACTTCTGCCCTCACCCCCTCATCTGTGCAGTCACTTCCTCCCTCACCGATGCCACTTCTGCCCATATCATTCCGCCCAAATTTTTCTCTTTCCTGCCCCCCTGTAGGCCCCACTTGTGATCGCAAACACCGACCCCACCCCTAAGGCCGTGCCCTGGATGACCCCGTGCACACCTGAGGACCACAGGCATGTGACCCCAATCCCTGAATTCAAAGCCTCTACCTCATCCACCACGTCCTGCTGCCCACCCCCAGCCACACCCATCCAGCCACACCCAGGGCGACCCAATGTGGACAACCACAAGTTCACACCCCAGCCCTTGGCGCACGTGACACGTGTCAGTCATACACCTGTTTATGTCAGTCACATGCTTGTCATTGAGTGATCCCACCCCTGCCCCATGACTCCTAACCCCGCCCTCATTGTGACCCCAACCTGTCCCATGACTCCATCCTTTACCGCCCACACCCCACCTACCTCACTCTCCCAGTGACCCCGACCCCGCCCTCCCAATGACCCATGACCCCGCCCTCACAGTGACCCCGTCCGCCATGCTAATGTTGGCTGTGGCACTGGCGTGTATGGCCCTGGCCCAAGTATCCCACGTGCAAGCACACGATGATATGGAAGGCGTACCCGAAGTGGGAGTGCCTGGCGTGGGCATGGCTGGCGAAGATGGCATGGGCGTGGTGGTGTCTACACGGACTGGGCGCCTGCGGGGCCTAAGGTCACCCCTGCCAGGTGGGCTGCTGGGCCCCGTGTGGCGCTTTCTGGGCGTGCCCTATGCTGCCCCGCCCTCGGGCACACTACGGTTCCAGCCTCCTGAGCCACCAGCGCCCTGGCCTGGGGTGCGCGACGCCACGCGCCCAGCCCCTGCCTGCCCTCAGGACCCCGACCCTCGTGCGCTGCCCCGCGACATGCTGCCCGTGTGGCTGTTGGCTAACCCGGACACGCTAAGGTCATATGTGCAAGACCAGAGTGAGGACTGCCTCTACCTCAACGTCTACATGCCTGCGGGGGATGGTGTGTGATGAGGAGGGGATGGGGAGGGGTTGGGGTCAGAGGTGGGGATAGGGGAGGAGTGAAGTCATCAAGTGAGCAGGGAGAACATGCTAAAGTCATTCGTGTGAGATATCAACGTCTACATACCAGAGGCAGTGGCAGTGTGGGTTGGCGGGAGAGGTGGAGGTCACAGGGTCAAGGCATGGGGTTTTTGTGACCTCATCAGGTATGTAGGGAGAACACTCTAAGGTCAGACATGTGAGGTCTCAATGTCAGCGTTCCATTGTGAATGTGGTAGGGTGGGGATGGGTTCAGGGTAGGGGGTGTCGGGTGATGTCATGAAGGGCAAGGGAAAACACACTGAGGTAATACGGGGCGGGGTCCGATGGGGAGAATATGCTACTGAGATACATGCAGAATGTACAGCCCTTGGGTGGTGACACGGTAAGGTGGACAGGACAGGCGTGAAGTCATTTGTGGGCCTCAACCATGAGCTCATGTTAGTGTCACGTGGTCTGGGTGACACCTGTCAGGAGACACGTGTTACTTCACAGGGCAGGGTTATGGGCCCCAGGTTCTAAGTGACATGTGTGGGACATCACTGACATCTCATGTCCAGGTGGGGAATCCACAGGTCAGCCGTGCTCACATGTGTGTCATGTGTGTGACAAGTGTGGATAATCACGTGTGTGACTGAGAACACCGTACTCACATGCACATACACCACACAAGTGATGCATGTACACATGACCACATGCGCACTGCACATACGAGTATAACACATTTGCCCATGACTCTGCATACACATTACACATGATTGTCATGTGTGGACATGTGAACTCTTATGCACTCCACATAGCACTGTCATGCGTGCACACAAGTCCACAGATTAACCCCACACACGTGTGTCATGAGAATGCAAGAGCACACATGACCTTGTATCCATCCCACACATAACCACATATGCACAGCACACACGAGTGTAACACGTGCCCATGACCATGCATGTAGGTTACACACGAATGTCACCTATGGGCATGTGAATACATATGCACGCCACACTGAGATGTCACACCCCACATATGTTTGTATCACACATGAGAGCACACATGACCTTGCATCCATCCCATACACGACTGTCTCGTGTGCACATGTGAGGGCATCAATGGCTGACCTCATGCGGACTACTCCGTGACAGCCTCAGCAGACATCACTTTCCTGTTGGGTCATTTGCATGTACTTGTAAATGTACATCAGCATGATTTGCATGATATTTGGGCCCGGACTAGACAATTCCTGAATCCCTCCCTGCTTTTGATTTGCATGCGGCATTCAAAGCCTCAATGGGCAAATCCTGGTGCTTGTGCATATTCACCAGTCTGATTTGCATGTTCACATGCATATTCATAAGGGTGAGTTGCATTAGATTTTATCTATATAACACAATCACTGAGACCCCCTGCTGTAATTTGCATACACTCATGTGTATTCATTGGTTCCAGATCTGTTTTACATGGTCAGATTTAATTCAGACTTGTTAATTTTGTTAATGCTCATGCCTACAGTACTCTATTTCTCCCATTGAGGCGCCCTCTTGGGGCCCTGGGAGTGTGGCCTCACGGTGGCCCCGCCCCAACATAGTTACATGGCCATTCCTATGGTCGGTAATTTCCCATGATGCCACAGGTTTACTGTCATCATCCTAGTACAGCACACACACACACCTTCCCATGATGCCAACGTTTTACCATAATCACTGCACTGCAGGGTCTTCTTCCTCCCATGACGCCTCCTGTTTACAGTAATCAGACCAGTGCAGTGCACCCAAATTTGTAATGACTGCTTCTCCCCATCATTCCATCGCTTTACCGTAATATCCCTTGAGCCCATGCTCATTTTCAGATTCTGCTTCTTTGCATGGCATAATCGACACACTGCAGCTCAGTGAATGTTCAGGGATAGTTCTTTCCATGATGACACCTGTTTACCATAATCAATGTAATGAAGTACACTCGCTCCACCCCATGATGACACCGCTTTATTGTAAGCCCCAGTACAGCCAATCAGAATATTTCAGACTCCACTTCTTCCCATGATGCCACCTATTTACCGTAATATCCATAGTGCAACGTATTTGGATTTCCAGAGTGCTTTATCCCATGATGACACAATTGTGGTACACCCAGAATTTCAGGCTCCAGTGGAGACAGAGTGCCCTGGAGCCTACAAGGTCGGAGACCGGTTTACCTCTACACTAATTAACTACTTCGGCACTGCATTAAACACTCTCATAAACCGCCCAGACCTCATGAGGATTGGACACGTGCCCTACCATAATTACACTGATTTGATAGTTGGTGCGTTTTCTCCACCGTAAGCATAGCACGGCACCCTCATATTAGGATTTTTTTCTTTCCATTCCCCATTCGGTTTCCATCCTGTGTGGAGCACCGGGAGATGTCCTTGGGCGCAATCTGGGAGGGCATGGCTGGTGGTTGACGGTGGCGCAAAGGTCAATGTGACAGGGGAGGCGGGCGTGGGGAATCGCATTCAGCCTTTTTATGATGTGGTATTTTGACTTTTTTTTTTTTTACCCTAAACGACTCGCACACGCATTAATTTTTAGGGGAAAGTTTAATTTTTTTCTGGCCCCACCCTGGGTTTTACATTTTAATTATGTTTTGGTTTGACTTTTATGGGATAATTTCATTTTTCTGCCCACACTCCGCCACTAGAAATGAATTTTTTTTTTCCCTCTAAAACCAAAATCAGTCTCCAGGTTTTGGAATTTAGTTTTCATTTTTTCCCTCTTCGCCCTCCTCCGTTTTATTTTTATTCATTTTTTATTCTCTCTTCTTTTGTTATTCTTCCTTCACGGGTTAACGTGTACAAACCAGCTGACGGCTCTGAATTCTGCTGTATTTGAATTTTTTATTATTATCCCCCCACCTCCTGTCAACGCCACCCAGGAGCGAAATCTAAGAAAATTGCAGACAACATCACGAGTAACGAGTATGGTGACAACGAAGGTATAATTTTTGTTCCTCTCGAGACAGGCTCGACCCCAGGATTTAATCTCTGTACAAATTTTTTGGTTGTTTTTTTAATTTTTAATTTTTTTCACTATGTTTGAAGCTTCTGTGCCTGGGCAAACTTCTTTGGACTTTTTCTTCTTGATAAAAAATCACAGCAAAAGGAAAAGCTAGTAGTCAGGAAATCAAACAACAAAAATAGAAATTATTTGGGTTTGGATTTTTCATATATACATATACATACATACATACATACATACATACATACATACATATAGTTTTTGGGGTCTTTTTGGCTGTTTGGAGTTGTTTTTTTTTGCTTTTTACCCTCACTCGTTTTGTTTGATTGTTTTTTTTTTAATGCATTTTGGGGGGCGCATGGTTTCTTTAACTTTTTTTGTTTTTTGCCCTTACTACAAGAAGAAAAAAATGTGATTTTTCTTGATTTTGGGTGTTTTTTCTTTTTTTCTATTAATATTTTGTGTGTGTTTTGGGGGATGGGTTTTTGGTATTAAAATTACTTTTAATAATTTTTGATTCTTGGTTTTTCGTATTTTTGCCCTCACCAAACAAAAAAAAAAGAAAAGAAAAAAGAAATTGTGATTTTCTTGGTTTTGTATTTTGTTGTAATTTTTTTGGTCTTATATATATTTCAGACTCTTTTTTGGGGGGGAAGTCGGGTGTTGTTCTTTTCAATTTTTTAAAATTTTTTTTGTTTTTTATTATTTTAGTATTTTCTGGTTTTTCTTTGTTAGTATTTTTCCCCCTTGTGTCTGTGAACAGGGGATTCCGGAAATTTCACATTACTCTTTTTTTTTTTTTTTTTTTGGTGGTTGTTGTAGGTTTTTTTTTTATTTAATTTATTATATTGCATGTCAATCCCAGTTGCCTCTCTCTCCCTCACTCCCTCCCTCTTTCCTTCCATCACTTGTACCCTCTCTGTCCTCTCACATGCACCCTAACCACCCTCCCCTCCCATCCCCCCACCCCAATTCCATATGTAGGGGAATGCCATCCAGTTGGGGTCATGTAGATCTGACAGGTCATGTGAAGTAGGGACTAGGGCTTCTCTCCTGTCTCTAGGTTAAGGCAGTTATCCCTCCATGGGGGATGTGTTTGCAAAGTCCTTTTGTGCACCAGGGATACATCCTGGCTCCACTGTCTGAGGTTCCTTAGACTGCTCAGACCTTCTGGCTGAGACCCATATTCAGGGGGGGCCTGAGTCAGTCCCATGCTGGCTTCCCAGCTATCAGTCTGGGGGAATGTTAGCTCCTCCTTGTTCAGGTAAGCTGTCTCTATGTGTTTTTGCAACCTGGTCTTGTCTTCTCCCTCTTCATCTGGATTCTGGTTCTACTAAGTGTTTAGGTGTGGGTGTTTGCTTCTGTTTCCAACAGGTACTAGATGAGGGATTCATGGATAAGTTAGTTGTTGATCTCCCTATCCAGGAAGGGCATTTATGGTAGCCTTTCCACGGATGCTCAAATTGTTAGTTGGTGGCAGTCTTGTAGGTCTCTAGACCTTTCTTTAGGTACAGTTTTCTCTTCAAACAAATATTGGCTCCCTCTTTTATGTTCTCTCTCTCTGTCTCTCTGTCTGTCTCTCCTGTAGTCTATTCCTAACTGGACTCAATCTTCCTAGTCACACGTGTTCTCCTTTCCTCCCCCTCATTTTCTCCTACTTCTCTCTCCATTCGCTGCGCCCCCCCCCCCCCCGCTTCCCCTGTGCTATGGGGGACTCGTCCATTCCCAGTTCTGTGAGGGAATTTATATGAATCTCAGAATACACCTTGTATCCTAGTTCCTCTGGTGGTGTGAATTATAGGCTGGTGATCCTTTGTGCTAGATCTAAAATACATATATGAGTGAGGACATACTATGATCCTCTTTTTGTGACTGGGTTACATCATTCAGGATGGTTTCTTCATGTGCCATCCATTTGCCTGTGAAATTTCACGATTCCATTATTTTTTTCTGCAGAGTAGTATTCCATTGTGTGGATGTGCCACATCTTCATTATCCATTCTTCAATTGAGGGGCATCTAGATTGCTTCCAGTTTCTTGCTATTACAAATAGTGCTGCTATGAACATAGTTGAACAGATGTCTTTGTTGCATGGATATTGATCCTTTGGGTAAGTGACTAAGATGGGGATTGCCGGGTCCTGTGGTAAACTAATTCCCATTTTCTTGAGGAACCGCCATACTGATCACCATAATGGCTGTACGAGTTTAGACTCCCACCAAGAGTGGAAGAGTGTTTCCCTATCTTCACATCCTCTCCAACATGAGTCCTCATTGGTGTTTCTAATTTTAGCCATTCTGGCAGGAGTAAGATGGTATCTCAAAGTTGTTTTGATGTTTTGATTTGCATTTCCCTGATAGCTAAGGATGTTGAGCACTTTCTTAAGTGCCTTTCAGCCTTTTTGATTTCCTCTATTGAGACTTCTTTCTTCAGTCCTGTACCCCATTTTTAATAGGGTTATTTGGTGTTTTTTTTTTTTGTTTTTGTTTTTGTTTTGTTTTTTTGACTAGTTTCTTGAGTTCTTTGTATATTTTAGAGATAAGCACTTTGTCAGACATAGGATTGGTGAAAATCTTTTCCCAGTCTGTGGGCTGCTGTTTGGTCTTGTCCATTGTGTCCTTTGCCTTACAGAAGCTTCTAAGTTTGAAGAGGCCCCATTTATTAATTGTTGTTCTCAGTGTCTGTGCCCCTGGAGTTATGTTCAGAAAGGGGTCTCCTATACCAATTTGCTCAAGGGTACCTCCTACTTTCTCTTCTAAGAGGTTCAGTGTACTTGATTTGATGTTGAGGTCTTTGATCCATTTGTACTTGAGTTTTGTGCATGGCAACAGACATGGGTCTATCTGCAATCTTCTACACACCCTCATCCAATTGTGCCAGCACCATTTGTTGAAGATGCTGTCCTTGCCCCATTGTATAATTTTAGCTGTTTTGTCGAAAATCGGGTGTTTATAGGTGTGTGGGTTAATATCAGGATTTTCAATCCGATTCCATTGGTCTATCTGTCTATTTTTGTGCCAATACCAGGCTGTTTTCAGAACTATAGCTCTGTAGTAGAACATAAAGTCAGGGATGGTGATGCCTCCTGAAGTTCTTTTATTGTGTAAGGTTGTTTTTGGCTATCCTGGGTCTTTTGTTTTTGCATATAAAGTTGATTATTATCCTTTGAAGGTCAGTGAAGAATTGTGGTGGGATTTTAATGGGGATTGCATTGAATCTGTAGATTGCTTTAGGCAAGATTGCCATTTTTACTATGTTTATCCTACCTATCCAAGAACAAGGGAGATCTTTCCATTTTCTGGTATCTTCCTTAATTTCTTTCTTTAGAGCCTCAAAGTTCTTATTATGTAAGACTTTTTCTTGTTTGGTAAGCATTACCCCAACATACTTTATGTTGCTTTGGCTATTGTAAAGGGTGATTTTTCTCTGATTTCTTTCTCTGCCTCTTTGTCGTCTAAAAAAAGTAGGGCTACTGATTTTTTTGTCTAGTTTATCTTGTATCCTACTAGTTTGCTGAAGTTGTTTATCAGCTGTAAGAGTTCCCTGGTAGAGTTTATTGGGTCGCTTATGTAAACTATCATTTCATATGCAAATAGAGACAGTTTGACTTCTTCCTTTTCAATTTGGATCCCCTTGATCTCCTTTTGTTGTCTTATAGCTTTAGCTAGAACTTCCAGTATAATATTGAAGAGGTGGAGGGAGAGGACAGCCTTGTCTTGTTTCTGATTTTAGAGGAATTGGCTTAAGTTTCTCTCCATTCAGTTTGATGTTGGCAGTTGGTTTGCTGTATATTGCTCTTATTATGTTTAGGTATGTTCCTGTTATCCCTGATTTCTCCAAGACCTTTATCATGAAAGGGTGTTGAATTTTGTCAAAGGCTTTTTCAGAATCTAGGGAGATGATGTTTTTCTTTTTCAGTTTTTTTATAGGATTGATCACTTTGATAGATTTTCATATGTTAAACCATCCCTGCATTCCAGGGATGAAGCCTACTTGGTCATGGTGGATGATTTCTCTGATGTATTCTTGAATTTGGTTTGCTAGTATTTTATTGAGTATTGTTGCATCGATGTTCATCAGGGATATTGGTCTGTAGTTTTTCTGTCTTTGTTGTGTCTTTGTGAGAATTGGGTACCAAGGATGTTGTAGTTTTAAATTTTACTTTCAGGGCAGGGTGAGGGCAAGGCAGATATTTTTTCTTTTGTGGCCGTGGCCATATCTCGAACGTCCATGTCCCGATTGGCTTAGTGAGTGGTGTGCCCTGCCCCACATCTTCAGCCTGTAAGTGGGGTGGAGGATGGGTTTGGGACCAGAAGTGCCTTGGCTGAGACCAGAAGTATGGCAGGGGTAGAGGTTTGGGAACCAGACTGCACATCTGGGACCGGAAGTGGAGCCAATAATGGCACAGGAATGGGCGATGGGTTTTGCAAACCAGAAGTGTGGCAAGGCGAGGGACATAGGAACCAGAAGTGACACGGCTCAGACCAGAAATAGCTCTGGAAGTGGCATGGGGCAAGTACCCAGGCCTGGAAATGGGACAGGAAGTGGGTGGGGAAAGCTAGTGGGATGGAAATGGCTTCCGTTTCATGGCTGGCAGGGAGGAACATAAGGCTGGACGTGACCTGCCCTGATCTGTGGGGCTTGAAGTAGAACCAGAAGTAAGGCTGCCAGAGTTGGGTGTGGTGATGCAGCCCAGGGAAAGGGCCGGAAAGGGTGCCTTAAGTGATCCGCCCCTTCCCACCCCTTGCAGACATCCACGGCCAGGACGGTAAGAAGCCCGTAATGGTCTACATCCATGGTGGTTCCTATATGGAAGGCACTGGAAACATGTTTGACGGCAGCGTCCTGGCGAGCTATGGCAATGTCATTGTCATCACGCTCAACTACCGCCTGGGCGTGTTAGGTGAGCCCTACCCCCAGCCCCTGGCTACGCCCCTGCCTGACACACCCAGTTTTGTTTTAATTTGTGACATTTCTGGGTCATGTGTCACATACATGTAACATGTTCTCAATGTTTTTTTTTTTTTTTTTTAACTTGTGACATTTTGGGGTTGAAAGACCCTCAGAGCGTGGACCTTCATGCTCCCACTTAGGAAAGGTGATACCCCAAATCGCTCATGAGAAGCAGTCTCAATGCAAATAGCATAAGGAGTTTTTGTTCCAAGTGTACTGGGGTCCACAGTCATACGCCACGCAGGTGTAGAGGACTGAGGACCTTTAGGGCAGAACTGAGGTAGCTTTTATAGGATTTACATCAAAGGTAACAAGGCTATTTTCAAAGCTAGCCTGTTGTTTTCATTGGGCCTAAAAGCAAGGTCATGGTACAGTTCAAAGCTTGGTTAATAAGGTTTCCTAGGTTACAGAGATTTCATGGAGTACACAGTTTTTACAAGACAGGAATGTTTAGCGCACCTGCACGGTTAGGGGGTTTTCTTTCTCTAGGACCAGTGGGCTCAATGGCCTTGTCCTTAAGATAATGGGGGGGGCAGGGAGAATATACTCTCCAGTCAGGGAGTTTTCTATATCTATTGGCAGAAGCACTTGTTCTTTCTAGTTTTCCCTTCTTGCCATGAGTCCCGTCTTTCAGTTATTAATTTTCTTTGTAGACGTGATGACCTATAACAATTCCCAGACTGTTGTTGTGGATAACAACATTCCTCAGAAACTAGGTTGTTATGAACAATAATACTTTCCAGAGACCAGTCATTGTGACCAAGCTATTTCATGTGTTTCCTTTTAATGAGCTTTGCATGTAGCTAGGGTGATTTTTAAATACATGCTGATGGATATTTTTAAATTTCTCACTTTTAGTGGTCATTAGAGAGTTAGGCTGTATTTTCATCCTTTCAAGGTCACATACATACATGTCACAGATTTGCATTTTTAAAAAAACCTTCAGAGTTTTGAGGTAATATGACACATACATGTAACAGGATTTTACTGTTTTTCACTTGTGACACATTTTGGGTCACGTATGACATACATGTAAGAGGTTTTCATTGTATTTTTTTAATTTATGACTATTTGGGTCATATGTCACATACGTGTTTCAGCTTTTCACTGTTTTATTTTAACCTATGGCTCTGTATCACATGTGATATACACGTAACAATGTTTTTAAAGTTTTCCATTTTGAGTCAGGTTTAACATAAATGTAACAGGTTTAATGCTTTTCTTTTAACTTGTTCCATTTTAGGTCACATGTGACATACATGTAACAGGTTTTCACTATATGTTTTTAACTTGTGACATTTTTATTCATCTGTCACATGCACATAACAGGTTTTCAGTTTTTTTTTTTTAAATTGAGACTTTTCAGGGTGAGATACATGTAATAGGTTCTTACTGCTTTCTTTCAACTAATCATGTTTTTGGGTCGTGTCTCACATACATGTAACATGTTTTCATTTTTTTAACAACTTGTGACTTTTTGTTCATATTTCACATACATGTATCAGGTTTTCACTGCTTTATTTTTAACTTGAGACTTTTAAGGGTAACGTCTCACATACATGTATCATATTTCACTGCATTTCTTTAAACTTGTGTGGTTTTCTTGTGTCACGTGTTACAAATGTGTCCCGGTACCCACCCTCTACAGGCTTCCTGAGCACGGGCGACCAGGCTGCCAAGGGCAACTACGGGCTCCTGGACCAGATTCAGGCACTGCGCTGGGTGGAAGAGAATGTGGGTGCCTTCGGTGGGGACAATAAGCGTGTCACTGTGTTCGGCTCCGGCGCTGGCGCCTCGTGTGTCAGCCTGCTCACGCTATCTCACTACTCCGAGGGTGAGCAGGGGTGGAGGCGGCAGGCTCACACGTGTGACTGTGGTGGGTGGGGGCTGCAGTTGGTGTGTATGGGATGGACCCCAGGGCCATGTGGTGCTTGTTTGCAGTGTGTGAGCTGTCCGGGGTCCCGTGGTGTAGTACACGTAGCATATGTATCTTCACCCTATCATCACGGTCCATACATCATGTGTGTAACACTCATGTAACCTGCCGCCCCCTATACCCTGCATGCCTGTTCCAGAACGCCATCACCCCACTCCAAGCATCCTGTCATATGTGTGTCTCACCTGACCGTGCAAACATGAATGCCGTGATCATGCTCCATATGTCATGCACATAACACGCGTGTCCACCTCTACCCAACCCTATAGGACTATTCCAGAAGGTCATCACTGTAGTGCACACCTCATGCATATATCATGCAGGTTAGATATGTGTAACTTGACATGACGGTCCACACATCATGTATGTAACATGCATGTTTCCACCTTCGCAGGCCTGTTCCAGAAAGCAATCATCCAGAGCGGCACGGCGCTGTCCAGCTGGGCTGTGAACTACCAGCCAGCTCGGTTCGCAAGGGCGCTGGCAGAACGTGTGGGCTGCAGGGCTGAGGATTCGGCGGGGCTGGTGGCATGCCTGCGTGGGCGGGGCTGGCGCGAGCTATCACGGCAGCGGATACTGCCCCCCGCGTATCACGTGGCCTTTGGGCCCGTGATCGATGGCGATGTGATCCCCGACGACCCTCAGGTACTCATGGAGCAGGGTGAGTTCCTCAACTATGATGTCATGCTGGGGGTCAACCAGGCTGAGGGCCTGGCCTTCGTGGACGGCCTGGCGGGCAAGGGTGTGGCTGGTGCTGGGGGTGGGGTCGACAGCGGGGTTGAGGCTGATGTCAGGGGCCAGGCTACGGGCGGTGCTAGGGCTAACAATGCAGACTACATGGAAGAGTATGGCGAAGGCGGGGGCAGGGGTGGCACATGGAGAGGGGTTGATGGGGGTGGGGGAAGGGCTGCAGGTGGGGGATGGGGCAGGGCTGACTATGAAGATGATGACCGTGGGGGCGGGGCCGACGACTATGGCATGGGCGTGGCGGGCATGTTTGGGTCAGCCGAGTCGGGCGTGTCAGGAGGGGCAGTGGATATGGCATCGTCAGGGGGCGGGGTGTCTGTGGCTGCCTTTGATGGGGCAGTGTCAGGCTTCGTGGAAGCGCTGTATGGCAGCCCCGAGTGGGAAGAGGGGAAGGGCGGGGCTGGAGATGGGCGTGGCGGGCGTGACGCGCTGCGTGAGACAGTGAAGTTCATGTACACGGACTGGGCAGCACCTGAGAATGCAGAAACGCGTAGGCGCACGCTAGTGGCGCTATTCACAGACCACCAGTGGGCGGCGCCTGCTGTGGCCACAGCAGACCTACATGCACGCTATGGCTCCACCACCTACTTCTATGCCTTCGGGCACCGCTGCCCACCTGGCCACTCCCAAGCCAACCATGCCCAAGCGCCGGGACCTGCCCAAGACCCCAGACCGGCCTGGGCTGACGCTGCTGCGCATGGAGACGAGGTGCCTTATGTGTTCGGGGCCCCCATGCTTGGCTCCACCCAAGCTCACACTGGCCCTTCTGGCCATGCCCTCGATGCGCTCTTTGGGTGCAACTTCACCCGGAACGATGTCATGCTCAGCGCCGTCGTAATGACATACTGGACCAACTTTGCCAAGACCGGGTAAGGAGTGGGTCAGGGTGTGAGGCCAAGGGGCTGGCCTTGGGCAGAGTACATGGGCCTGAGTAGGATGGGGTAAGGTGACGTAGGATGAGGGGCAGAATGGGGCAGGGTGAGGTCATAAACTCCTGGACCAACTTTGCCATGACCGAGTAAGGGGTGGGGCAAAGCTGAGGAGTGTTATTATTATTATTATTGGTATCGTTACCATCATTTTCAGCATTATTGTTATTATTATTTTCATTCTTATATCAACATTGTTATTGTTGCTATTATTATTGTTATTGCCATCATCATCATCGTTATTTTCATTATTTCTGTCATCATTATTGCCATTGTTAATATTTATCATTATTGTTACTATTTTCATCATCATTATTATTTATTATTATCATCTTTATCATTATTATATGTTGTTATCATTATTGCTGTTGGTTTTATTATCATCATTACCATTTATGACTATTTTTGTTGTTATTGTTATTATTACTATTATTAGTACCATCATCATTATTATCATTACCATTATTATTGTTGATTTTATTATCATCATTATTGTCACTATTAGTACTATTATCATTGCCATCATTATTACCACTGTTATAGTTATTATTATTATTACCATTATTATTGTTTCTGTTATTGTTTTTATCATCATTATCATTATTCTTATTACTATCATTACCAAGACTACAATCGTTGTTAATTGTCTATGTCATCATCATTATCTTTATCACTATCATTGTCATTGTTGTTTATCACTATTATTATTATTCTCCTGTTATTATTATTACTATTATTATTAACAGACTAACATTGTTATCATTAGTATTATCATTATTATCATTGTTGTTGTCATTGTTTTTAATCATTTTCATTATTGTCACTATCTTTACTATTATCATCATTATTATTAACTTTATTATTATTGTTGTTATTATCATTTTTGTTATTGTTTTTGTCATCACTGTCATCATTGTTATCATTGTTTATCACTATTATCATTATTGTCACTATTATTACTATTATTTTCATTACTAGTAACATTAACATTGCTATTGTTAATATTGTCACTATTATTACTGTTGTTGATATTATTATTAACAAGTTATTATTATTACCTTTTTTATCATTGTTGTTATTAACATTATCATTATTAATATCGTCATTATTATTGTTTTTATTATTATTTTTTTCCCCTCCCCTCTCCTCGTTATCCCTCACCCCCTTCAGTGACCCGAACCGCCCAGTGCCCCAGGACACCACGTTTGCGCACACTCGGCCCAACCGTTTTGAGGCGGTGTCCTGGGCCAAGTACGAAAGGCTAGGACAGCTGTACCTGCACATCGGACTCCGCCCGCGCGTGCGCGACCACTATCGAGCTGCGAAGGTGGCCTTCTGGCTGGAGCTGGTGCCACGCCTTCATGGCCTACGCAACCTGCTCCGCCCTGGTGACACGCCCCCTCCAATGTCAGGAAACAGTGGCTTTGGGGCAGGAAAGAGCACCACACCGGGGCCGGGGACGGGAAACAGAGGCTCCTGGGCAGGAAACAGCGGGATCGGGGCAGGAAACAGTGAATTTGGAACCCGAAAACTAAACATCGTCCCCAGAACCGGAAGTGGCGGGAACAACGCCGGCGGGACCGGAAGCAGGAACCCCGGGGCCAGAGGCAGAAGCAGGAAGGCAGGGCCGGGGTCAGATGCAGCAGCTGTGCTGATCGAGACAAGGCGCGACTACTCGATGGAGCTGAGCGTGACGATCGCAGTGGGCGCCGCCCTGCTCCTCCTCAACGTCCTGGCATTCGCCGCGCTCTACTACAAGAGGGACAAGCACCGGCACCAGACTCACAGGCGCCATGCCCACCACGCCCATGTCCACGGGCACCGCCTAGCCCAGCAGCAGCGAAGTGATGGGGATGTGGTGGCCGGGCGCGATTGCGTCATCGGAAACAGCATGGCAGACTCTGGCCCCGCCCCACCCGACTATGCGCTCACGCTGCGCAGGGCCCCTGACGACCTGCAGCTGATGGGCAGGACCTCAGGGGTTGCCTCTGCAATGGCGTCCTCACCTGGTGCCACCATTGCTGTCATTCCTGACCCGCCCATGGTGCAGCCACAGGCGGCGGCCACACCCCAGATGGTCGGGAAGAACGCCTTCGGGGCCAGCGGGCACTCGACCACGCGAGTATAGCGCCAGGGGACCGGGCGGAAACTTTATTATTATTGTTGGTGGTGTTGAACTGGACGACAGGGAGTGCAGAGTCAGAGATGCACACAGCTCTGCCATCCACAAAGGACAGGGTCTCTGTTGGTCCTGCCAGGATCGCACAGGCTTGTATGAAGGATGCTAGACTCGCATGTAGGCCAGGAGGTGGCGCAGAGACTTTTATTATGAATTCGATTATTATTATTATTAATAAATAATGGACGAGTGAGCTGCATACTCGGAGGGAGGGGGGCAGGCCGGAGGGTCCACCCACCTAGCTGGTTTACAAGCTCCCAGGGAGGGAGGGACTCAATCAGTCAATGAGGAGGAGGGAGACTTATTATGAACTCAATGATGATGAAGATCATGATGGTTATTATTATTGTTAAATAAATTGATGATGATGGTTATTATTATGGATGATGACCACGGTTATTATTATTATTAAATAAATTGATAATGGTGATGACAATGGATATTATTATTACTATTATTATTATTGAATAAATGATGATGTTGGTTATGACAATGGTTATTATTATAATTATTATTAAATAAAAGATGAATGTGTGGAGAGACCTAGGGTTTCCTTGTCGAGTGTGCAAATTATTCCTCTGCTATTATTGTTATTTATTATTTATTGTTGTTATTTACTATATTTCTTTTTCTCTTTTGACATTTTCTTTATTATGGCACAGAACATCCATTTGAATAGCTCTGTTCCAAATTACATAGATATACACACAATGAAATAGGTTCTGAATGCCATTCCCCAGATGTCATAATTTCCTAATTTCAATGTCTGTTAGCTTTTTTTTTTTTTAACATGTCGATCCCTGGTCCCTCTCCCTCCCTCCCTCCCTCCCTCCCTCCCTCTCTCTTACACTCTCTGCCCCCTCACATGCACCCTGACCACCCTCCCCTCCCATTCCCCCACCCCAATTCCACATGTAGGGCAATGCCATCCAGGTGGGGTCATGTAGATCTGACAGGTCATGTGAAGTAGGGACTAGGGCTTCTCTCCTGTCTCTAGGTTAAGGCAGTTATCCCTCCATGGGGGGGGGTGTCCACAAGGTCCTTTTCGTCCACCAGGAACACATCCTGGTTCCAGAACACTCCTCAGAAAATAGATGGTTATGAAAATAATTATTTCCAGAAACCGGTCATCGTGACCAAGCTATTTCATGTGTTTCCTTTTCCTGTGCTTTGCATGCAGCTAGGGTGATTTTTAAATACATGCTGGTGGATATTTTTAAATTTCTGACTTTTAGTGGTCATTAGAGTTAGACTGTATTTCCATCCTTTCAGATGGTGTCTTATACTTTACTCCCACATGATTGTAACAAACTCAAGAGATCATTGATTATTTAATGATAGATTTGAACAATAAAATAAATGAATGAATAATGAGATAATGTCACATAATTGGCCCCTTGGGAGATACCAAAATGATGTTACATTCTTCCTGCCCCCCATTATCTTAAGGACAAGGCCACTGAGCCCCCTGGTCCTAGAGAAAGAAACCACCCCCCTAACATTGCAGGTGTGCTAAAGAATCCCACATTGTAAAAACTGTAATCTATGAAATCTCTGTAACCTTGGAAACCTTATTAACCATCCACGTTTTAAAATTCCCCACAACCTTACTTACCTTGCTTTTAGGCCTAGTGAAAATAAGAGGCTAGCTTTGAAACTGGCCTTGTTAGCTTTGATGTAAATCCTATAAAAGCTATCTCAATTCTGCCCTCGAGGTCCTCAGTCCTCTACCCCTGTGTGGTGTATGACTGTGGACTCCAGTGCACTTGGAATAAAAAGTCCTCATGCTATTTGCATTGAGACTGAGTGATTTGGGGTGTTGCCTTTCTTGAGTGGGAGCATAAAGGTCCATGCTCTGCAAGTCTTTCAAGCTCACACTCAGTTGTTGGTGAAGTGTTTTCCCTTTGCTGTCATCCTGGACACCTCAGACATCTGTTCCTTGAGGAGGTAGAGAATGTGCATTGGGTGAAACTTCAGCTGTAAGAGGGAGCTGCACTGCTTTGCCCTGCACTTAGGGTGCCTAGGATGCCCCCACCAATATTCACCTCAATTAAGACTCTGCACTTAAAACGTTCACCATTGGAGGCTCCACCCTCCCCCTAGAGTCCACCTTCTGATTCCTGATCTTCTGTTCTCATGGAGCCACCCGGGATTGTTTTGCTCAGATTAAAAATTGATTAATGTCAGAAGCTGTTTTTTGGGGGTGCAATCGAGCAAACTCCAGGTCATTTGCTGAGTCAGAGAGTGTAGATGAGGGAAAGGCTAGCTAATAGACTTAAGTGACAGAAACCCAAGATAGTTACCAGGAAAGCAGATTCAGTCTATACTGAATGTCCAGTTTATTTCATACCTCAAAATATAAGTAATCAACCAAAGGAGGAGTCAATCTCAGAGAACTCCTATTATGTATAAAGGGTAAATAGCTCTCTGACTTCAGGAGGCATTTAAAGCTGTCTGGCCCAAAGCCTATTGTTATTTAGATAAGATCCATTTACAATTCACCACTCAAGGCCAGGCATCCTGTAGCTGGTAAACTAAAATGCCTGGAGGACAATAGAAATGATATGAGCTCTCTGAACATGTGGCACATTGGAATGGATTCCATATAAGGTCCCAACAGATTTTTTTAATTCAGTCTGGTAGAAACACTGCATCAGCAAACATGGATTTCCTTTAACCTTTCCACTCACTAGCAATTTTGTTTAGTTTGGTTTTTTTTTGTTTGTTTGTTTTTTGAGATAGGCTTTCTCTGTATTGCTTTGGAGCCTGTCATAGAACTAGCTCTGGAGACCATGCTGTCCTCCAACTAAAGAGATCTGCCTGGATCTGCCTCCCAAATGCTGGGATTAAAGACATGATCCACCAAAGCTCAGACTACTCACTAGTATTTTTAAACATAACAGGGAGGCTTTGCTCTTGGTCTCCCTTGGTTTTCTGCAGCCACTTTTGTAACATCCTTGTTTCTGTGGCACAGGGAGTACACAAGGGCAGGGCAAGGACCATCAAGAATAAGCAGATCCTAAGCATGGAGCTGAGTGGGTGGGTATGGGAACTGGGAACATGGTACTTCATGGCTTGCAGGCACCCAGGAAGGGTGGCTCCAAACTACAGGTTCCAGTTTCACTGTGCCAGAACCTGTTTGGAGTTGCTAAGTGATGATGCCAAAACCAGGCCCAGGTCATCTACAGGTGCCAGCCCTGACCCATGCTCGGAAATATAGCCAAAACTCATGACAATTTATCCCATAACAAGAACTCAGCTGTGAGAACTTGTGTCCCCACCAAAAGTTCACGTGCACAGCTGAAGAGCATGATACATGGGTATTAGATCCCATGCCCCCAACCAATTTTTTTTCTTTCTCCTCAACCCCACCCAGAGCCACCTCTCTTGCTGGATTGAAATGAGAGGATGAAATGAGTGGGACTATCACTCCCCCTCCCCATATAAGATGCCATGCCTGCACAAGGGTGCCAGTCTTCTGCAGAGGGTGTCGGGACTAAGAACACAGGACTCTTGCTTGATGTTAGAAGGCTCTTTCTTTTTTATTTTACTCTGGGATTGGCTTATATACCCCAGCACCAGATGGAGAATGGGGAAGCAGAGGCGGGCGGTTAGTCATCTCAGGACCAGTTAGGGTGCTTTCAGGGTTGGGGAAACCAAAGGAGCATTTTGCCTTAGAAAACATATTTTTTTGTTTTCCTGCAGTTACAGCTGCCTGCTCTGAGGGCAGCAGGGGGAGTGAATTCTTAGCCAAGGTCTTAATTCCTACAATTCCTTCTTTTTTATTTTCTATGAGAGACCCCTGGCTTAGGTCGTGTAGGATGTACCATGCTTTAACCGTCCTGGGGGGACCTGGCAACCCCATGTCTTAGGTGGGAGGTTTTCCTATAAATTACCCAACATAGGAGATCCTCATTTCTACAGCATCTGTAACCAGACCTCATGACTGTTGGGAGATCCATGAGCCAGACAGTTCTTTTTGTGAAAAGGACTATTGGATTTTGCATAGTACAAGAATCCCTGCCATGGCCACTACCAGCCCAAAGTCCCCTAGAGACAATGTGCCACTCCAAAGCCATATCCAACCTCCCAGCTGGGCCATGGCATTCCACCAGCCCTCTGCTGAAATAGAATTAATTCAGGTCTTATTGACCTCTAAGATCTGGTGAGCCAAAACATTGGTAAAGTTTACAAAAGACAAGAACCCCCCCACCAAGTAAGCACTGAGGCGGTAGACCCCTACAGAGACATTTGCATTTCAAACAAGGTGACACAAGAGGAATGACAAAGTGTGAGCAGGAAGTCTGTTGCACAAACCACAAAACCCCAACTTGTTCCTGAAGTAAGGAAGTTTGCTGATTTGAGTTAAGGAATCTGAACTGAATGTGAGCACAAATATCCCCTCAGACCCTAGGTAATAGGGAGTGGGCGGTTGCCATTTTCTTGTAATTTTGTCCTTCCATCTGACCCATCCCAATGTTTGAGAGGGTTTGTTCTAATGTCTCTCCACTGCAGACAAATTATTTTTATTTATAGTCAGAAAATTTAAAATATAAAGTATGGTAGATAATTGAGAATTGGGGGAGGTCCTATACTCCCCCTTTTTTATTTTATTAAAATATTGTTTAAGGGTGGCATGAGTGCCTTCCACGATGGCTTGTCCCGTAGGGTTGTATCGGATGCCAAAGGAGTGATAAATATGATGTTCCTTGCAGAAGGCTGTGAAGCGATGGCTAGCATATGCAGGGCCATTATCTGTTTTTAAGACATCAGGAACACCCATATAGTCAAAGGCCTGTAAACAATGGGAGATGACATCTTTAATCTTTTCTCCAGAGTGTAGAGACACCAAAACTACCGTATAATATGTATCCACAGAAACATGCATATATTTTAATTTTCCTGCTTGAGGCAGGTGGGTGACACCCATTTGCCAAAGAATGTTAGCCCTTAGTCCCTGGAGATTCACCCCCTCATTGGGGGAATTATGATAAGGAGAGCAATCAAGGCATCGAGAAGTAATCTGAGTGGCAACAGATAAGGAGCAGTTACTATGAAACTTAAGAGAGCATGCATTTAGGTGATACCGCTCATGAAGCTGGCGCGCATGTTGCTCCACTGTGAACATGACTATTAGTGGCCAAGTTAAAGAATCAGCAAGTTGATTGCCCTGGTCAAGGGGTCCTGGGAGGCCTGTATGGGCATGTATGTACCCCACAAATGCAAGGTGTATCCACTGCCAGATAAGATGTT